GAGAAATGTAATTGATAAACCATTTAAAATTGCTAGAAATACTTTTTACAACCCAAAAAGGGACAAGCAAACGTATTCAACTAAAAATATGTTGGTTCTCCCTTATCATGAAAATTTGGTTGATATGCCTTCTCTTCTTAAGACTTTTAATTTAAAAGTTGTATTTAAAAATCTTTAAACAGTAAAAAAAAATTTGATAAAGAATTCCACCCAAAATGCTGACGGATGTGTCTATAAGATCCCTTGTAAAATTTGCGATAAAGTTTATTACGGTCAAACTGGTAAAAGTTTCGAACTTAGATTAAAACAACATAAATATAGCATTAGAACTGGACAAGATTCCAATGCTCTATTTATTCATGTGAGAGATTTTAACCATCCAATTGATATCCAAAAAGTTGAGAAAGTTGTATCAAGCAAGTCCATGGTCGACAGAGATATAATTGAATCTTGTTTCATAGAAAGCAGTTTTGAAAATAATATGAATATTTCCTTTGGTTTATATCAGTTAGATTCATTTATAATTAATAAAATTTCGGAAGAATTTAATAATACATTGGACAAATAATAAATCTTATTTCTTGGGTAGAATATTTTATTAGTGGGATGTCGTGAGGACCTGTCTAGTTGGGCCAGCAGACCTACTTCAGTGTTCCTCTTTTCTTATGAGCCGGGTATCGTCGCGTGTCAGGTGTTTCTTTGTTGGGGGATGTGACTGAGGTGTGGTCTAGACCCTTTACATGCCTTCCTTTGATGTATTACTTTTATAGTTCCTTGATAATGTGAGTAGTCACGAAAGCGCTTGGAATTTCACTACTCTTTCACAATGGTTGTTTTGAGTGTGTATATATATATATATATATATATATATATATATATATATATATATATATATATATATATATATATATATAATATATATATATATATTATATTACATACATATATGCAAGAAATTCGCAAGAGCATGCGAAATATATACTAACACTGATCTCTGGCCGAAAGAGACTCGAATCTACGAACCTTGGAACAAGGTACGCAGTGCCTTACCATTCTCACCACACTGGACCAATACCTTGGCGTCCAGCTAGCGTTAGACGTTTTGATCCAAGGCAGCCAGCTCTCAGTGTGATGAGAATGGTAAGGCACTGCGTACCTTGTTCCAAGGTTAGTAAGTTCGAGTCTCCTTCGGCCAGAGATCAATGTTTGTGCATATTTCGCCTGCTCTTGCGAATTCCTTGCATTGTTAAAATTTCTAGTAAGGCTGGTGCATGCAGGGGATCAGATGAAAAGCTGTAAGCCTTCTCCCTGAAAGCTAGCTGCCTTGGATCAAAACGTCTAGCGCAAGCTGGACGCCAAGGTATTGGTCCAGTGTGGTGAGAATGGTAAGGCACTGCGTACCTTGTTCCAAGGTTCGTAGGTTCGAGTCTCCTTCGGCCAAAGATCAGTGTATATATATTATATATATATATATATATATTATATATATATATATATATATATATATAAATATAATACTTTTATATTCACACAGCACATTGCCCTCAGACATGACATCTTCACTGCCTTCTCCTTATTGCAACATTCACTACCCATGCTTCACGCCCATGTAAGAGCGTAGGTACCACTATACTCTCATACATTCCTTTCCATTGATAACGTTCTCTGTCTCCACTGACTCATCAATGCATTCACTCACCTTTCCCCCCCCCTCATCAATTCTTAGGCCCATCTACTGATAAGTCCACACCCAAATGTCTGAATACATTCACTTCTTCCATACTCCCTTCCTCCAATCTAACAGTCAATCTTTCATTACCTATTTTTTTTTATCATCACCTTCCTCTTTCCCATTTTCACTTTTAATTTTCTTCTTTTGCATACCCTTCCAAACTTGTTCACCACCCTCTGCGACTTCAGAATCTCCCAAAATCACGGTGTCATCAGCAAAAAGCAACTGTGAGAACTTCCACTTTGTGTTAGATTCTTTACCTCTTAATCCCACACCTCTTGCCAACACCCGACCATTCACGTCCCTTACAATCCCACCGATAAATATATTGAACAACTATGGTGACATCACGCATCCCAGTCTAAGGTCTACTTTTACTTGAAAATAACCTTCCTCTCTCCTTACAGTCCTCCTAAAACCTCTTAGCAGCTTTCAGTACTCTACCTATTCCTATTCCTATTCCTATTCCTCTGAAGATATGGGTGTGTAAACACATGAAAGCTCTCAGCTTTTATTTCCTGTTGTCATTGTGGTATTTTTTCATATTTGAGATTGCGCATTTCATTGTGATTACCTTTTGTTTGAGAGCTGCTGCATGCGAAGGCTGCAGCGTAGAGCCACCCGTGATGATCACTCTCAAAGATGATAGGTCGTAGTGTTGCAGGAGAGGTGTCTCGACTATAAACTTGATGAAATAGGGCACGAGAGGCATCAGCGTTACCTGTAACAGAAATTCATGAAGCTCATATTGCTCATATTGATTTCACCATTTCACCTTTGGTCTTAAGATTTTAATGAACATCTGTATTAAACAACTTGAACCAGACATTAATTCTGCACTTCACTTATTTATACTGAAATAATCGTAGTATCCCATTTTATAATATGTTTAATTTTTTGTTTAAATTCAATATTGTACTTTGTTTTAAGACCATAAGAAAGGAAGAGCACTGCAGCAGGCCTACTGGCCCTTGCCGGCAAGGTCCAGGTCACACTCACCCACACAAAATCGTCTACTTATATATCCTAATTTTATAACTTCCCAAGATACTCACTTCATTGGCGCTACGCGGGAATTTGTTCCACTCGTTCGCAACTGTATTACTAAACCAGTGCTTTCTTAGATCCTTTCTAAATCTTAATATTTCAACTTGAACCAAATGCTGCGAGTCCTGTCTGGTTAGATATTATCAGAACGTAAGTTATACCTCTTTAATTTATTCACATCTTCTATTTGTGTACTTCAGTCCTATCCCCCACTAATTTGCCGCCTTTGTAGAGAGTGCAGTTTGAGTGGGTACAGTCAGTCAGTCCTCATAGGAAAGGTTTCTGATACATGAGATCAACTTCGCCATCCTTCTTTGTATGTTTTACAGCGTATTTATGTTCATTCCGGAATATGGAGACCAGAACTGTACAGCATAATCTAAATGAGGCCTTACCAAGGTTATAAAAAGATAAAGTATAATCTGAGAAATACTATTATTTAATCTTCATGATAAGGTGCCAATAATGAAATTTCTTACCATTACTGTTAACTAGAACTCCAAAAAGATTTTGATCAGCAGAGTGATTGAGATCTACATTATTTGGTTTATAAGTGCCACATTTTTTCTTTTTCCAGGCTCAGAACCTGAAATGTGTCAATATTAAACTACTTCCATTTCTCCGGCAAGTGCATAAACTTTTCAGTTCTTCCTGTAGCTCTCCGGAGTTCTCATCAGAATTTATCAGACTGCCTATTTTAGTGTTGTCAGCAACTTGTTTATGCAGTAGTTTTTTTCCCCCCTAACCTATGTCGTTCATGTACATTGCGAACATCCAGTTGCCCAATTCAGACTCCTGTGGAACACCACTTGTAATGTATCTCCACTGTTGCCTATCGGTCAACCACGCCTCGAGCCAATAAAAAAATATTCCCTTCAGTTCCGTGTTCTTCTATTTTGTTCACCACAGTATCGCATACATTATTATGAATTACTTTTCAAATATCTTAGTGAAAAAATTATCAAATTTCTGAGCTAAAACGCCCCTTTCATCAATTTGTATTTTTCATGGCGGCTTCAATTAGCTTCCACTATTATTGATTCCATCGATTTTCCTACAATGGAGGACAGGCTAATTGGTCAGTAATTTGAAAATAATATCCCATCGCCCACTTTGTAGATAGATATCACATTTGCCATTTTTCCTCTGATCTGTCATTATATTAGTTTGTAGTGATTTGCTGAAAATACTAGCAAATAATTTTCTAAGATCCGCCTGACTTTCCATCATAACCCTTGAGGACAGTTTAACAGGGTCCAGTGACTTTTTTTTTTTTAATCTGTCTATTTGTATGAGAACTATGTCATATTGCATAACTTATTTTTCTCCTAACCTATATTTTTTTTTTATTATCACACCGGCCGATTCCCACCAAGGCAGGGTGGCCCGAAAAAGAAAAACTTTCACCATCATTCACTCCATCACTGTCTTGCCAGAAGGGTGCTTTACACTACAGTTTTTAAACTGCAACATTAACACCCCTCCTTCAGAGTGCAGGCACTGTACTTCCCATCTCCAGGACTCAAGTCCGGCCTGCCGGTTTCCCTGAATCCCTTCATAAATGTTACTTTGCTCACACTCCAACAGCACGTCAAGTATTAAAAACCATTTGTCTCCATTCACTCCTATCAAACACGCTCAAGCATGCCTGCTGGAAGTCCAAGCCCCTCGCACACAAAACCTCCTTTACCCCTCCCTCCAACCCTTCCTAGGCCGACCCCTACCCCGCCTTCCTTCCACTACAGACTGATACACTCTTGAAGTCATTCTGTTTCGCTCCATTCTCTCTACATGTCCGAACCACCTCAACAACCCTTCCTCAGCCCTCTGGACAACAGTTTTGGTAATCCCGCACCTCCTCCTAACTTCCAAACTACGAATTCTCTGCATTATATTCACACCACACATTGCCCTCAGACATGACATCTCCACTGCCTCCAGCCTTCTCCTCGCTGCAACATTCATCACCCACGCTTCACACCCATATAAGAGCGTTGGTAAAACTATACTCTCATACATTCCCCTCTTTGCCTCCAAGGACAAAGTTCTTTGTCTCCACAGACTCCTAAGTGCACCACTCACTCTTTTTCCCTCATCAATTCTATGATTCACCTCATCTTTCATAGACCCATCCGCTGACACGTCCACTCCCAAATATCTGAATACGTTCACCTCCTCCATACTCTCTCCCTCCAATCTGATATTCAATCTTTCATCACCTAATCTTTTTGTTATCCTCATAACCTTACTCTTTCCTGTATTCACCTTTAATTTTCTTCTTTTGCACACCCTACCAAATTCATCCACCAATCTCTGCAACTTCTCTTCAGAATCTCCCAAGAGCACAGTGTCATCAGCAAAGAGCAGCTGTGACAACTCCCACTTTGTGTGTGATTCTTTATCTTTTAACTCCACGCCTCTTGCCAAGACCCTCGCATTTACTTCTCTTACAACCCCATCTATAAATATATTAAACAACCACGGTGACATCACACATCCTTGTCTAAGGCCTACTTTTACTGGGAAAAAATTTCCCTCTTTCCTACATACTCTAACTTGAGCCTCACTATCCTCGTAAAAAACTCTTCACTGCTTTCAGTAACCTACCTCCTACACCATACACTTGCAACATCTGCCACATTGCCCCCCTATCCACCCTGTCATACGCCTTTTCCAAATCCATAAATGCCACAAAGACCTCTTTAGCCTTATCTAAATACTGTTCACTTTATATGTTTCACTGTAAACACCTGGTCCACACACCCCTACCTTTCCTAAAGCCTCCTTGTTCATCTGCTATCCTATTCTCCGTCTTACTCTTAATTCTTTCAATTATAACTCTACCATACACTTTACCAGGTACACTCAACAGACTTATCCCCCTATAATTTTTGCACTCTCTTTTATCCCCTTTGCCTTTATACAAAGGAACTATGCATGCTCTCTGCCAATCCCTAGGTACCTTACCCTCTTCCATACATTTATTAAACAATTGCACCAACCACTCCAAAACTATACCCCCACCTGCTTTTAACATTTCTATCTTTATCCCATCAATCCCGGCTGCCTTACCCCCTTTCATTTTACCTACTGCCTCACGAACTTCCCCCACACTCACAACTGGCTCTTCCTCACTCCTACAAGATGTTATTCCTCCTTGCCCTATACACGAAATCACAGCTTCCCTATCTTCATCAACATTTAACAATTCCTCAAAATATTCCTTCCATCTTCCCAATACCTCTAACTCTCCATTTAATAACTCTCCTCTCTATTTTTAACTGACAAATCCATTTGTTCTCTAGGCTTTCTTAACTTGTTAATCTCACTCCAAAACTTTTTCTTATTTTCAACAAAATTTGTTGATAACATCTCACCCACTCTCTCATTTGCTCTCTTTTTACATTGCTTCACCACTCTCTTAACCTCTCTCTTTTTCTCCATATACTCTTCCCTCCTTGCATCACTTCTACTTTGTAAAAACTTCTCATATGCTAACTTTTTCTCCCTTACTACTCTCTTTACATCATCATTCCACCAATCGCTCCTCTTCCCTCCTGCACCCACTTTCCTGTAACCACAAACTTCTGCTGAACACTCTAACACTACATTTTTAAAACCTACCCCATACCTCTTCGACCCCATTGCCTATGCTCTCATTAGCCCATCTATCCTCCAATAGCTGTTTATATCTTACCCTAACTGCCTCCTCTTTTAGTTTATAAACCTTCACCTCTCTCTTCCCTGATGCTTCTATTCTCCTTGTATCCCATCTACCTTTTACTCTCAGTGTAGCTACAACTAGAAAGTGATCTGATATATCTGTGGCCCCTCTATAAACATGTACATCCTGAAGTCTACTCAACAGTCTTTTATCTACCAATACATAATCCAACAAACTACTGTCATTTCGCCCTACATCATATCGTGTATACTTATTTATCCTCTTTTTCTTAAAATATGTATTACCTATAACTAAACCCTTTCTATACAAAGTTCAATCAAAGGGCTCCCATTATCATTTACACCTGGCACCCCAAACTTACCTACCACACCCTCTCTAAAAGTTTCTCCTACTTTAGCATTCAAGTCCCCTACCACAATTACTCTCTCACTTGGTTCAAAGCTCCTATACATTCACTTAACATCTCCCAAAATCTCTCTCTCTCCTCTGCATCCTCTCTTCTCCAGTGCATACACGCTTATTATGACCCACTTCTCGCATCCAACCTTTACTTAATCCACATAATTCTTGAATTTACACATTCATATTCTCTTTTCTCCTTCCATAACTGATCATTTAACATTACTGCTACCCCTTCCTTTGCTCTACTCTCTCAGATACTCCAGATTTAATCCCATTTATTTCCCCCCACTGAAACTCTCCTACGCCCTTCAGCTTTGTTTCGCTTAGGGCCAGGAACATCCAACTTCTTTTCATTCATAACATCACAATCATCTGTTTCTTGTCATCCGCACTACATCCACGCACATTAAGCAACCCAGTTTTATAAAGTTTTTCTTCTTCTCTTTTTTAGTAATTGTATACAGGAGAAGGGGTTACTAGCCCATTGCTCCCGGCATTTTAGTCGCCTCATACGACACGCATGGCTTACGGAGGAAAGATTCTTTTCCACTTCCCCATGGACAATAAAAGAAATAAAAAAGAACAAGAGCTATTTAGAAAAAGGAGAAAAACCTAGATGTATGTATATATATATATGCATGTGCGTGTCTGTGAAGTGTGACCAAAGTGTTAGTAGGAGTAGCAAGATATCCCTGTTATCTTAGCGTGTTTATGAGACAGAAAAAGAAACCAGCAATCCTACCATCATGCAAAACAATACAGGTTTTTGTTTCACAGTCATCTGGCAGGACGGTAGTACTTCCCTGGGTGGTTGCTGTCTACCAACCTACTACCTTCCTAACCTATATATATATATATATATATATTTCTAGAACTTTGTTAGTATCTTACTATGGGAAAACCGAGAGAAAATAATTGTTAAGTCTGAACGCATTTGTTTGAGAAACTTTAAAGTTTCTCCCAAGTCATGCTTTTGTACCTAGAAAAAAAACTTCTAGGTTGGACCTTGATGCCCGTGATACATTAGTATCATAATCTCTTTTGACTTTTCTTATTCTGTTTTTTATTTCCCTCTTTAGCTGAACATTTTGGTTCCTTGACTGTTCCTCTCTCTTCTGATTTGCCTGTATATACCTCTCTCTTGGCATCTGAGATGTTTTAACCTATTGCTTATCCATTTAGGGTTATTTTATTATCTGAATTCCAAATATGGAACATATGTTGCTTGGGTAGGTTCTACAATGCTTTGAAAAATATCAAGGTCATCTCCACCTAACCGCTCCTCATGATAATCATCCGTTAGGCCACACCAGTACACTCCACCGAGATAATCCCTCTCGTTTTCCAGTGCATTTATATCCATTTTGTAATACGGTGACCAGAACTGTGTAGCATAATCTAAATGAGGCCTAACCAAAGATATATAGAGTTGAAGAGCAACCTGAGGACTTCCATTATTTATACTTCTTGATATGAGCCAAGGATTGTGTTAGCTTTATTGCGAATCCCCACAAAATCGACTGCACGATAATCGATATACTGAAACAGTGATTTCACATGATCGCTCTTTCCAAGGTTATTATTAACCTCAAGATTATTAATTAGAGATTATTTCTTAGAATGAATATGTCTAGCAGGTTATTTCCTCTAATTAGTTCTGTCACAATATCTTTTAAAAAATCCTGGACCATATCTAGAAGGTCGCTAGACTTAATGTTTCCAGGCAAATTAGTCTAATCAGTTTGGCTAAAGTTAAAATCTCATATTATCTAGAAGCCTTAGTAATTTCTTTCCATAGAGGTCTACCGTATCTCCTGTTTAGGTGTGGGAGTCTGTAAATCACAAGTAGGATAAGTATTTCACGTCTCTCGAGAAACTGTATCCAAACTGATTCAGTGTCCGTCACTTCTACTTTTTCATTGTCTAATAAAAGAGTTTGAATGATCTTTGATGTACCTTGTCAATTCTACCGCCTTTCCTGTTGACCCAATTGGTGTAGAATAATTTATAGCCTTGTATGTAACATTCAACAGGTATTTCTCAAGTAAGATACATGTGCAACAATTAGGTATCTATATTCTGAAATGTTTCACCTACACAGTATGCTTCTTCAGTCGAGTACAGAAAAGTTTGCAGAGGCAATAGAGATGTGAAGACAAAACAGCCCATGGAAGAATTTCAAACATGTAAAGAAGAGCAAAGACAGTACAGGAATACGTAAGCCAAGGAATCAAAAGTCAAAATGGGAAATCGTGTGAACGCAGACTCATGCTCAGGGACCAGCTTGTAAAATCAGCGGCTAGTATAGTATGTTAAGAGTGCTTACAGAACCTGCTAAGGAACTAGCGACCAAAGGTCGCAGTACCTTAATATCTTCAGCAGATGAAATGAGGCAGAACAGGTGTGCGAGTTTGCCAATATTAGTGTAAGAGGTCAGAGACCTCTAACCTCTATGAGTGTGTATGGCCAATTGACTTCCTACTCGTTACCAGTGTTGCTACTTTAATCCCAGCTACTTCCCACAAATGATTGAGATAAGCGTGGAGAAATTACGGACTTCAGTCTGGCATACTATAACTTGCTGATGATGTACCAGATAAGCCCTTAAAGATCAATTGGTAGTTTGTAGAACAAATTTCCCACGAACTACTGCTACGAAATACTACCTCACTCTTATTCCTCTCTGCTGCACCCCACTGTATTCTCACTCACTCACCGCCAGCCAGGCCACATGCATGTCTGCATACATGTCTACGTCCTTTAACATGTCACTGCTGAAAAAGGTTTCTTGACAAAGTCTCTAATATGCTGATCTCTCTTACCTGTGTTTTATACGTTTTCCTGAGTAGTGTTTCACTTTATGTGTAGTACTGAACTTTCTCTATTGCTATTTAAAAATATTTTTAATCATCAGTGTATATTAAAGAGATACAAAATAATTAAATCCATACTGCATTTTAGACAGGCTCATTACACATTTAAAAAATGAAGCACAATAAAGATTCTTCTTTTTTTGCTGACAGCAAAACACATTCATCACATTGCATTATAACGTAAATTAATAGCTTCTGCTCACCTTAAATTTCTGGATAGAATCAAGAAATGTCTCGGGAGAAAACTTGCTTAGAGTGACAATGGTACTTCCGTACACCATAGGGATCACAACATGATGGTGACCATGTATATGATAAAATGGTAACGCCAGCAATGTTGCCATAAACCTTTTCCTGAGGGTTCCCGGGTCATTTAAACTCAATGAGCACCTGAATAAAGACAAATACGAAAAGTGTTCTATAAATCTGCATTAAATATGCACAACGTTCCTGAACTACAGAAAGAGAAGCAAAATTTACAAAGAAAACTAAATTTTCGTAAAAAAATATTGTCGATGATGAATTACGGTTTTATGTCAGCCAATAAATTTAATTAGTCAGTAAGATTCTTCTCATAGCCCGAACAACCGCGCAATAGGATTCTCCTATAAAGCTTTATTTCACCCGCTCACAACTAGTAATTAACACTTTCATCAGAGTGTACAAAACTGTACACACTGAGAAATGTACACCTCTACGTGTATGCATACGGATGTTAATTAATAGTATCTATACTGTCTGTATGATCAATATGAAATTTATATCTATAATTCTATTTCAGCAGGGGGTCGGTTAGAGTGACCCGGGGTAGCCTAGTGGATATGGGAACCAAATAATGGGGGTATGGGACTTGATCTCTGAACAATTTGCCGTTTTTCTATAAATACCTGTGATAAAACCCTTATGATTTTCTTTCAGCCGTTCTGTTGCTAGCTATCCATATGTAAAGTATAACCAAGTAATTGACATCTTTTGAAGTCATACTGGTACCTAATAGGACTGGTTAAAATTAGGATTTCGACAGTGGCGAAGGAGGCATGGAAACATATTGGGCAATCAGTTGGGGGTCTGTAATCGTAAAAAAAAAAAGTTACGAACACCTGGTCTAGACTATAGAAGCGTAAAAAGAATAGTCAGTAAATTATACTTAATTTTAACTTGACTCACGAAACCGTAATGACACGATTGCAAACAAACCATACCACGGGCGGGGTTTGAACCCGCGATAAGAGAGTCTCAAAACTCCAGACCGTTGCGTTAGCCACTGGACCAGCTAGCCACATAAGATTCATCCAACTAGGTATATTTCTACACCATAGGAAGGTTAGCATAGGCACCACTGTGACCACAAATGCAAGTTTTTACAGACGAATCTCCAGCTAGCGTGGCCGCGACGAACTCTAGCTCAAGTCCCCTCAAAGCCGTCAACATGACAGTGGCTAACGCGACGGTCTGGAGTTTTGAGACTGATCGCGGGTTCTATCCCCGCCCGTGGTATGGTTTGTTTGCAATCGTGTCATTACGATTTCGTGAGTCATGTTGACGGCTTTGAGGGGACTTGAGCTAGAGTTCGTCACGGCCACGCTAGCTGGAGATTCGTCTGTAAAAACTTGCATTTGAGGTCACAGTGGTGCCTATGCTAACCTTCCTATGGTGTAGAAATATACCTAGTTGGACGAATCTTATGTGGCTAGCTGGTCCAGTGGCTAACGCAACGGTCTGGAGATTTGAGACTCTCTTATCGCGGGTTCAAACCCTGCCCGTGGTATGTTTTATTTTTTTTTTTTATACTTAATTTTCTGATTTCGTTGAAGGGTGTAAGAAGAAACCAATGTCTAAGCTGCTTGAGGGGATTGCTCAGAATAAAATTATGGTGTAAATTTAAACCAATATGACGTTACTTTATTAGTACTCCTAAAACCTAAGTATGATGCCATTTTTTAAATAGTAACTATAATGCAAAAAAAAAAAAAGAAATGTGAACCTTTCTAAAAGTAATGTTAACTAATATTGAAAAGATGAAACCTTAAAAATATTAGATTATCACTTGAAAACAATTTCCTTATTTGCTTAAAAAATGGCGAAGTGGCATTTACACAAATCCTATAGCCCTAAAAGGCTCTTACTATCTTCCTTCGGGTTAAATAAATAAGCGTTGTAAAACTGAAGTCATTCAAAAGAGGCCTCAAGTTATCGGACAAAAAAAGCCTCATAGTTTTACAAAAAATAACAAACTGACTCCTGCAAAACCTATCAGAAAATTGAGCATTCTTAAAATTACACCACTGTTGTAAGTTGCAAACTGATCGGAAGTTGCATAATAAAATTATTGCTCGAAAACCGATATCCAAATTTTATCAAAAAGATAGGCAAATTGGCACGTCAACAGCCCAAAATTAAACCGAATCATCATTTTTCGTAAGTTTTGAAGCTATTAGAAGAAGTGTACTTAAAATATTTAGTGAGTACTTTTGGAGGAAAGAAAAAAAAAACTGTCAATTATCAGAGTCAACATTCGGATGATACCTAATAATAAACACTTGACCTTTTAGCGGTAGTGCTGTCTTTACATGAATTAATAGCAGCTTACTACAAACAATGAGTTCGCAGCCTGGTACAAAACTGACCTTACGAGTGTCAGGCCGGCAAGAAGATTGCGATGAGTGAGCATGATGACTTTAGGTAGCCCCGTTGTGCCTGAAGACAAGAACATTAAGGCCACAGCTCTCTCAGGCTTCAGGCCCTCAACCTGTCATGGCAAAGGTGGAAATATACGCTCTCAAAATCAGTTTTACTTTTTCCAAAGAAAAATCTAGATCTACTTACATTACTTTCAGCTTAGAGTCAGATAACTCGAGAATGAAAACTGAAAAGTAAATCCTTGTATTATTATGTGACAAAACACTATATAAAGAGAACATAACAAAGTTTCTCAAGTTATAGCGTTTGGACTGTGCGACAGATTTTTACACAAACACTGACGAAAAACTTTTATTTCTAGCATAAAGATTAAAGCAAACCTCCAGTGTAAATGCATTGATATACATTACACAGGAAGATTAAACATCACCATTCGTTTTACTGATGATTAAGTTCTAACAAGAGTCACTGATTCTAATACATGGCCAGAAAACAGAAACTTGTTACAGACGCACCTTTATTTATCGCAAATCATTGAATAGAGAAAAATGGAGAAAAACTTGTTTCTTTTCACCTCAGTTTTGGGAACAAGTCCTAATGTGTTTTTCCTGTCAGCCCTCCATCTCATCTGCGACCTCTTGACAGAATAAACAACAAAGCAAGACGGCTCATATCTCGCCTTCAACACCGGAGAGGTGTGGGTGGCTTTACTGTTACCTAAAGGGCCAATATTGTAAAAGAACTACATATAGCTCCACTCCGAGGACAGGGAGACGTGAGCTTCTACACAACAAGACGGGCAGCAAACAGCAACTACTCTCTGACTGTACCTTTCTTCAGAACATCACCTCATCTGAGATTATTTATTCTTAGGATGACTCGAGTCTGGAAAATGTTCGTACAGCATAATGACATCAAGGAAATAAAGCCAGCTAACCAAATAAAATCACTGGCCAACGGATAGCTCCAATCTCATCCTGTTCCCTACTTGTAAGTCTCTTAATAAAAATGCTTTCAAATGAACTGATATAGGTAAGAGTTCTTAGCGTGTAAATAAAGTTAGGAACCTTATCTAACCTTGTGAAACAATGTGAAGAAAAAAAATGTTTAAAAACATAAGTATCACTATCACGCAACTACCTGTAATTATCATTTTAATATTCTTCGTTAGACGCAGTTATCAGTAATACAATAATTTCCCTTGTATACTTAATATCAGGTGCTAAACGTTGTAGACAAGCATTTTATACAGAAATCGACAATTCATCTGTCATCGTCTCTGTTACAATGCTAATCGTGCGGACACACGTATTCGTAAGTTTACTACATCAACAGTTACCACATGTCTCTATGGGCTCTTAATTCGTGTCATTTTCCATGTGACCAGTTGTTCACACTGAGGTTCTATCGTCCTGCCATACGAGTGTGAAACAAATGAGTGTAAATAATGACTCACGAAATCGTAATAACACGATTGCAAACAAACCATACCACGGGTGGGGTTTGACCGCGGGTTCAAACCCCACCCGTGGTATGGTTTGATTATTATTATTATAATCAAAAAGAAGCGCTAAGCCACAAGGGCTATACAGCGCTGCAGGGTAGGGAAGGAAGCGAGGGTATTGGATGGCAGAAGGGAGGAGGGATGATCAGTAGGTTACAGAAAACAGCGGGGCAGGGAATAGTACGGGGGTAGAGGGTAGCAAGAGATTGAAGTAGAAAGGGCTGAAGGTATCAGAATTTGTGAAGTAAGTCAGTTGTTGTCAAAACGTCAATGAGAGAGTCTGGATGAAAGGTGGGTCCATCAGCGAGAAGGGAAGGTAAAGAGAGAGCAGCAGAGCGAAGATGACGACAGAGGTAAATTCTGCGTGCTCGTTGATAAAGTGGGCAGTTCAACAGAATGTGGCTGACTGATAATGGAACTTGGCAAGTCTCACAGAGAGGAGCAGGGTGCCTCTCCATGAGATATCCATGAGTAAGACGAGTATGGCCAATGCGAAGACGGGAGAGAGTAGTCTCCCAACCTCGACACTGGTGATAAGAAGACGGCCAGTAACCTATACTCGGTTTAATAGATTGAAGTTTGTTGCCGAGCATAGTAGACCAACGTTGTTGCCAACGGGTGTGAAGTTGGGAAGATATTGCAGCAAAATAGTCCGTATATGGAATACCTCTACATGAAACTGGTAGGTCATGTACTGCTGACCGCGCAGCAGTGTCTGCCCTGTACGTCAACATGACCAGGGACCCAACAAAAAACAATATCTTTATGCTTGGTAAAGATGCGGCGTAGCCAAAGTTGGATACGGAGGACTAAGGGGTGAGGTGTATCAAATTTCTGTATAGCCTGTAAAGCACTAAGGGAGTCTGAGACAACCACAAATGATGACACAGGCATAGATGCAATACGGATAAGTGCTGTAAGGATGGCATACAATTCAGCAGTAAAAATACTAGCCCAAGATAGTAAATGCCCTTGTACGACGCTGTCCGGAAACTGCTGCGAATCCTACGCCGTCAGAAGACTTAGAACCATCTGTGTACACAGCAATGGCATGAGAATGAGAGTGAAAGTGGTCAAGAAAAAGAGAGCGGGAAGCGGCCGTAGACAGTTGGGCTTTCGAGCAAGGGAGAGAGAAAGAACAGACTCGAACAGCTGGAACTTCCCAGGAGGTAGGGAAAAGTGAGATGCTACATATACATAGAAAGGTGGTAATTGAAGAGAAGACAAGAGCGAATGAAGGCGAAGAGAGAAGGGACGGAGTAAACAGGGGCGGCGAACAAATAAAGAATGTCTACTAATATCAGTGACCATTCTATAAATGGAAGGATTGCGGAGATTATGAGAGCGTACATAGTAGCGAAGGCAATGGGCATCACGGCGATCGGATAAGGATGGAACGTTCGCTTCTGCATAGAGGCTCTCGACAGGGGAAGAGCGAAAAGCACCAAGGCATAAACGTAATCCTTGGTGATGAATGGGGTTAAGGCTAGAGAGAGTAGCAGGAGATGCCGCTGAATAGATCTGGTCACCATAATCAAGTTTCGATAAGATAAGGGTGGAATGTAGGCGAAGGAGAGTTCGACGATCAGCTCCCCATGAAAGATGAGCAAGGGTTTTAAGAAGGTTCAGCCGGCTGTGATAAGTTGCCTTCAGAGAGGTAATGTGAGGTCTCCAGGATAACCTACGATCAAAGAGGAGGCCCAGAAACTTGACCGTATCACGTTCAGGGATACGGGAGCCATAGAGGTACAAAGGATGATCGGAGATGACAGAGCGTCTAGTGAAAGTAATTTGGTGGGTTTTAGTGCTGGAAAATTTAAACCCACGTGTGGTGGCCCAATTGGAAACACGATCGACTGCATGCTGGAGAGAAACTGTAATAAGGTGACTGTCAGCGCCTGCACAGGCAATAGCGGAGTCATCAACATAGAGTGATGACCAAATATTTGATGGAAGACTAGAGGCCAAATCATTAATAGCAAGGAGAAAAAGTGTTGTGCTCAGAACACATCCCTGGGGGACACCTTCAGCTTGGATAAAGTCCGGGGAGAGCACATTATTAACCCGAACACGGAAATGCCTGTCAGTTAAAAAGTTCTTAAGGAAGGATGGTAGATTGCCTCGAAGGCCTAAGGAGTGGGCTTGGGCTAAAATATTATACCTCCAAGTTGTGTCATATGCCTTCTCAAGGTCAAAAAATATGGCAATAACTGAGTGGTTATTCGCAAAGCCATTAGGAAAATACGTATCCAAGCGTAGTAAGGGGTCTATGGTAGAACGTCCCTTACGAAAGCCATATTGACGAGTGGAGAGACTGTTGTGTGTCTCTAAATACCACACTAAACGTCTATTTACCAGGCGTTCCATCACTTTGCAAACTGCACTGGTAAGAGCAATGGGACGATAGTGGGAGGTTTCATGTCCTGTAGTGCCTGGTTTGCGGAAAGGGAGAACAGTGGCGGATTTCCACAGCTGTGGAAGAACTCCTTGTGACCAAATAAGATTGTAAAGGCGTAATAGGACTGCAAGGGCTGACTGATGTAAATGTTGTAGCATACGAATATGAATGTCGTCGGGCCCAGCTGCCGATGATTGGCAAGCTGAGAGTGTTGCCTCCAGTTCTTGAAGTGTAAAAGGCACATTATACTGTTCTTCTCTGAGAGAAGAAAAGTCCAAGGGTGCTAATTCTCTGGCAGACTTTGAGGAAAGAAATGAGGGGCATAGATGGAGTCCCTGAGAAATACGGACCAGATGACTGCCAATTTCATTGGCAACATCTAGTGGGTTTGCTATATTAACACCGGCAACCCGCAGAACAGGAGCCGGGTCAGGAGAATATTTACCACTCACTTCTCGTACTTTTTTCCAGACTGCACTCATAGAGGAAGCAGAGGTGATGGTGGAGACATATTCTCGCCAGCAAGTGCGTTTAGCGTCACGGATGACACGGCGAGCGATCGCACACTTCTGCTTAAAATCAAGAAGTCTCTCTGTGGTTCTATTGTACCGGTACCTGCCCCATGCAGCGCGTTTCAAACGTACTGCACGAGCACAAGCAGGAGACCACCAAGGCACGCATTTCTGAGAATGCCTGCCCGAAGTTTGGGGTATAGAATGAGAAGCTGCGGTTAAAACGGAGGACGAGAAGAGGTGTAAAAGCTCATCGATGGAGGACGAAGAAGGAACCTCTCTAAAAACTGTTAGGTGTGAGTAAAGGTTCCAATTTGCCTGATCAAATTGCCAGCGTGGGATGTGAAGAGGTGGTGAATATGAAGGGGAAGTAAGAATGATTGGAAAATGATCGCTGTCATGTAAGTCCGGAAGAACAGACCAAGTGAAGTCTAATGCGGCAGAGGAAGAGCAGACTGAGAGATCGATGCAAGAGAGAGTGTGAGTCCGAGGATCAAAATGGGTGTGAGTACCTGTATTTAAAACATGGAGGGGGTTGGTGGCAAGAAAAGCCTCTAATTGAATGCCACGGGAATCACAGTGAGACCCCCCCCAGAGGAAATGGTGGGCATTAAAATCACCAAGTAACAGAATCGGTGGTGGTAATGATGAAACAAGAAAGGCAATATCCGGAATAGATAATGCCCGAGAAGGAGAGAGATATAAAGAACAGAGCGTATACCACCTACGAAAGTGGATACGGGCTGCTGTGTAATGCAGCGAAGTACGAACAAATAGCTGATGGTACGGAATATCAGTGCGTAGAAGAAGGGCACTTTCATTAAAGGTCCCATCAGGAAAAGGATCTGAAGACTACAATAAATTATAGCCTGAGATGGGAGAGATAACAGCAGAGTGTAATTTTGGTTCCTGTAAGCAAACACCAACAGGGGAAAACTGGGAGAGTAACATCTGAAGCTCACCCTGATTACCCCTGAGGCCGCGTATATTCCACTGTAAATAGGCCATGATTGGCAATGATAAAGATACCTGAAATCCACAGGTAAGGGTTCCTACAGACTAGAGGGGTTAGAAAAGTCCACATGCGGAGGCAGTAGAAAACGTTCAAGCAGCGAAGGAACGGTGCGCTGTGATGAAAGGAGCTGCGCAGATGGAGTAGAGGAGAGAGAAGGAGCGGAGGGTGGATCAGTGTCCATTGATGGTTTGGTCTCTGCAATATATTCAGGGGGAGGATGAGTAAAGATTGGAACTGTAATGGACTGTACCAAGGTAGGGGGGGGGCGAAAGGGTGGAGGGAACTGGAGAAGCATGGAAGGGGACAGAAGAGGCAGAAACCTGGGAGGTGGCAGAAGAGGAAGAAACTTGGGAGGGAACAGGGGAGGAAGGTACAGTACGAGGAGGAGGGTGAACCTCTACACTTGTAACAGAGCCAGTGAGAGGGAATGGAGAACCAGGTACAGAGACAGGGAAGGGAAAATGAGGAGGTGGAAGATGGGTAGGAGGTGTTAACGGACCTTTTTTTGACTTTTGAGAAGTAGAGGGACGATTGGGAGGTGTCATACGAGATCTCGTCACTACTGAGGCTTGTGAGAGAGAACACGAAGAAGCGAGATCAGACTGAGACGTTGAAGTAGGGACGTCTGAGCCGAGGACAGCAAAAGAATTAGCTACAGGAGCGACTATGGGAGAGGTAACCACAGAGGTGGGTGCAGAAGATGGGATACCAGAAGTGGGGGGACGTTTTGAAACACGGGAATAAGAAACACGAGGTAGTCTCCCTTGGAGGCGGAGATGAGAAACTGCCATGGCATAAGGGAGACCTTCTGCCTCTTTGAGGTAACGGATTTCCCGCTCGTTTAAGTAGACTTGACAACGGCGAGAGTACGAAGGGTGAGCCTCATGACAATTAAGGCAAGAGGGAGGTCGATTGCAAAATGTATTAGAATGGTCATCGGCACCACAGACTGGGCATTCGGCGATAGATCTGCAATATTTCGCTGGATGACCAAATCGCCAGCAATTTCTACACTGTTGCGGTGTAGGGATCACCTTTCGAACTTGTAACCGATGTCCTGCTACATAAACTGAGGATGGGAGTTCACGGCTGTCAAAAGTTAAACGAGCCACATTGCTAAGGTATCGTCTCCGCCCGTGGGCAGGAAGAACGTAAGTGTCTACCTTGAGGATTGGGAGATCTTGGAGTTCCAGCTGTTCAAGAATGTCAGTGCCACATGTCTGGAAATTTTGTTGAACTATGGTATGGGGCAGAATGACGGTACCACTACAAGAATTGAGGGAATGATGCTTTTCAATAGTTACAGGAACAGTATCGATATGGGAAAGACGAGAAAGCTCATGAGCCTGGGTAGCATTCTGTACTGTGACGATGCACGTACCGCTCTTAAGAGCATGAAAAGAAATATCTTTACCAACATGGCGTAAGAGTGCCTTGCCAATACTGTGGTCAGAAAGATAGGCAGTAGAGGAAGTCGGTCGTAAAGTGAAGAATTTAGTCCATTGTGCAGTCTGAAACTGAGCGTGGAAAGGTAGTGAAGGACGTGTCGATCTTTTCTGAGAAGAACGAGAAGGTGGAGAAGTATCATCAGCAGGTAATTGTCGTTGGCGTTTAGGTGTGGGACCAGAGTTGGTCCGACGTGGAACGGGCCGGCGATTCGAAAATTGCCGCACCGTAGAGGGAGAGGCCAGAAGCATAGTCAGAGGAGAGCGAAGGTCAGATAAATCGAAGGAGTCAGTCGAGGCCTCAGTACCTGAAGCGGGTGAGGAAACAGCACTGGCAAGAGGTACAGAGGCATGAGGAGTGTCCGAAGAGTGGTCCAAAGACGAGGCGGGGTCAGAATGGGGTGCGGTATCAAGAAGGGGCCCGGGGGTAGCAGGTTCATGGACTAGGGCTGCCATGGTTAGGTTACTTCTTTCTTTTTGTTTTTAAGAAAAAAAAAGAAAGAAGAAAAGAAAATAAAAATAAAAAAAAGAATAAAAAAGGGGGGCACCGGGGAGGGATAGTTCCTAGGAGGAATGAAAGGGCCAGAAATCTCCCTCCACACCCAAGAGGACCTCAGCACCACAAGTAGCGCAGATGCAGCATGGAACCCGTGCCATACCCTACCCATCATGCCAGTAAACCGGCAATCCGGGATAGCAACCTCACATCTGCCGAGCTACCTCGGTGGACAAAAGAGAGGGCGTCCGGAAATCCGCCACAAAGCATATCTCCTTCAGGCACCACCCCCGGAATCCGAAAGGTGGCTTCCAGAGATACACCCGTCGCCCGAGAGACACCCAAAGCCACCCTCCGGGATACCGGAGAGGGATCAGAACATCCCCAGGCAATCCAGATTCCACAGCAAACTACGCCACCGCCAAGAACCTCAACGGAATGGGATGGACCCCGGTACCCTTTCCCCTACCTAGGAACTAGCATGCCTGTGGGAAAAAAAAAAAAAAAAAAAAAAAAAAAAAAAAAAAAAGAAGGGCAAAAGGGAGGGGTGGGGAGGAGGAGGAAAGGAAAAAGGGGAGGATGGGGAGGATGGGATAGGGAACGGGTAATTGGAGGGTAATTAGGTTCGGTCTGAGGAAGTAGACCGACAGGTCTAATTCCTCAGACCAAGAGCCTCTTCACCACTCCAAGGAACCCCCCTTGAAGAGGTGGTATGGTTTGAGTGTAGATGATTTTACAAAAAAATAACATATTTACTGGTATCTTTCCCTTCCGTCTCCTAAACACATAAAATGACAGGTACTTCTTGCTAACTAGTTAAGATGGCAACACTGAAGATGAGATGAATTATGGATGGGGACATAAGATGACTCCATGACGTAGTAAGCACTTTGCCTACAAGAAAATAAGTGCATCCACCACCATTAGTGTTGAAACGAAGACGATGATTGGAAGATTGAAAGACGAGTTGTCAGTTTCTATATATCTTATTAGTTACCTACGGTTTAGTTAAGGGACTAAGAGTAAGTAAGAAAGGGAAGTTATGTTGTTTTCTTTTTTTTGTATTATGTGACAAAGTATATAATACCGATAATCGTAATTTCATAGTAGTCTGAAATTCATACCATTTTATTTCGATCTTTCCCTCCCTCCCTCTCCCCTTTTCTTTCTCTCCCCCTCTCTCTGTTTCTTTTTTTCACAAGGTTTGACAAGGTTAGGTTAGGACTTCTAACTTTATTGACAATATGTTGACAGGTTAAGGATTCCTAACTTTACTGACAAGCTAAGAGCTGTTACCTACATCTGCTCATTTAAAGGCTCTTTTATTGTTATGAGACATACAAGTATGAAACAGGATGAAGTTGGAGGTATCTGTGGGGTAGCAATTTCATATGATAAGCTGACTTTATTTCGTTGATATCGTTATGCTATACGAATATGTTCCAAACTCGAGTCATCCTAGGAATAAATGATCTCAGATATAGCAATGTGAAGTTGCTGCTTGCTGCCCGTTTTCTGATATAGAAGCTCACTTCTCGCTGTCCTCGGAGTGGAGCCAAGTGTGGCACTTTGACAATGTTGGCCTGATACATAACAGTAAGGCCGCTCACATCCCTCCTGTGTTTAAGGCTCTGCTGAAATGACAGCTCTATCCAGGCTGGGTCCAGGCGAGAGATGAGGAGTCTTGCTCTGTTCTCTGTTCTGTCAAGAAGTCGCAGATGAGATGGGGGTCAGGCAGTTCAAGAAAGTGGAGCATACCCAAGGTGTGAGGATACTTGTGTCTCTCTCTGTCTCTGTCTCTCACTTTCAACGAATTAGATATTTAATAATTTTGATTGTGAAATTAAAATAGAATTCCATAATATTCTCAGTTACAGACATAGAAGTCAGTGATTACCAGTTATGTATCAGATGGGTTATCAGCCATTCGTGTGAAAGATTACCACAGTAATGTATTTAGTTCGTCAGCCTTACTTGTGATGATATTTCAGCTATGTGTCTGATAAGTTATCAGTGCTTAATATTCAATAGCGTATCTGATGAGTTATTTTTCATGTAGTGTGTGGTTTACCAGTCGTACATCTGACAAGCTATCACTCAATTATAATGAGGGTTTTCAGCAATGTAAATGATGACTTATCAGTCATGCTTCTGATCTGTTATCAGTCTTGCTAACATTACTACCTTAGTGATGGGCGGTAGTGGCTCATAGTGCATGAGATCAAGAAGATTGGGACATCCAGCTGCATCTCCAAAGATCCACGTCCTCTTGATAGTACCGGAGGGCAAGAGGGAGAAGGCAGCCTCAGCCTTGTCCACCACAGTGTTGTGAATCACAGCCCAGCGAACACCACTCACGTTTATCATATGAATCAATTCCTCTGTTCAGTATACATAAGATGATTTAGCACATAAGTAAAAGTAATATTTGTTTACCTTTGTGAAAAAATGTATTATTGAGGGGAGTGCAAAAAAGTTTAATTTCCCTTTTATAGAATGAACTCTTTATTTCTTGTGATTTACAAGCAGGAAGTATGTATAAACTTGCTATAAGATAAACTTTTGGTTTGAACTCTAGTTTCCAAGGCAGTTATCAGATGAGCCTGCATCCATTCACAGAATATTTTGTTCAAATTTTTATTGAATTTCCGTACTATCTAAGCAATTAGTGATGAACGTATCGTGATCATTTTTCCTAATTAAATTCCTTCAGTAGTTATGAGAAGGCAATCCATGTGGTAAATGTCATTCTGAAAAATGAGTAGAAGTTATCCTGCCTAGAAAATCAAATCTAATTATCTACATTTTCTGCCCATGGGGAGAAAACACTGGTCTTGCAGAATTTGATTAATAATTTAAATTAATGTTAATCCCATATGTCAAACTTTATCACTCTGGTTCGGTTTAGAAGTAAAAGTTAAACTTTCTCCTTTCCATTCCTCGAACACATCTGCACTTACTATTATTACATGACAGATAACACCAAACAAGTAAATCATTTGGTTCAGTCTTTCTAAATATATGGGGGAACACTCCATTACCCAAAATGACCACAATTAAAATTAACCCGTTTATCATATCCTTTCCTAAACTGGTGATATAAACAGGACTCAAATAAGACTAGGGCATTACTGAGCAAGTAAAAAGGTTAAAAGAGAAGTTTCCTCCACTGCGCCCAGCTACAAAAGATCAAGTTATAGTCACGACAACAGATGACACTTTTTGTCGTAGTAAACAAGACTTGGTTAATCTCTCAGACACTCCTGCCAGGCTCCTGAAGAAGCCTCCCTCTCGTCCCATCGGTGTTTCCTGGACATTTACAGTGGAAATGCTTGTCATTGCAGCAGAACTAGTTAAGAGTGCTCTTATTAAACTTTTATTCAATTCGTCTGCTCCTGTTGTTGCACAATACAGACGTCTTTTGTCTTTTTTTTCAGTTGTGCTGCAGTAGTGTTCATCCCTTTCAGCTGATCAATGCTGCTTATTTTTATAATATATTCTCTTAGCTTATTGGTGGTAATAAGTGGGGTTTTATTACCTCCTTTGTTCTAATAACTTAATCTCTAGTCGGAAATGTTAATTTTTTCTTGTTTTTAAGCAGTTTAATTAAGTACACAATTCTATTGTTCATATTCTTATATTAACTTTTTAATGGACACTGGAAAGTTCATTTTGCTTACTTATAATCCCTGCTTTTGTTTAGAAACCCTTACAAGAGCCTTTAGGCTCTTGTTTTCCTTTTGTTCAGTACTAATTACACATATTTTGCTGACTTTGATGTTCGTGTGGACAGTCTATAGGACAGTACCTACTGAGTCCTCTGTGTAATTGTAATACTTGTGAATGGTTTATTCGAATGAGACTGTCTCAAAGGTGCGTCTGCTCAGTGAGTTATGTAGTTTTGATGATTATTTGCTTAAATTTCTTATATACATGTGCATACGTGTGTGTGTGTGAATGTAGATATATGTATGTCATTGAATATGTATACCTATGTGGGCCATATTATTACTTTTCCTACAGGAAGTATTTCATCTCTACTTTTCAAAAGGATATGAAGTGGTTTTAAAGAATTTGAGATTTGTACTATCATAGTTGCATTTTGGACAAGGCTCCAAGAGAAAAATAACGATTAACATTGTCGAATACGTGGCATCTTCTGTTCCACAAGCTGTGAATATTCATATGGGAGGTATATTTTCCTCACGAAAGGAACACACTCTTTAGCACGGATACTTAGGTTCCTATTTTGGTTTCACAAATTAATGCATGTGAGTCTTTCTGTACTGCTCATTCGATATACATTGTTGTAGAAATGGTATATATTCTCACAAAAGACATTGTGTTATATAGTAGGTATTGCTTACAATTATGGAATACACTTGGTCCAGGGAAAACCATTATTAAAGATTACGTTGAGCATTAAATATGGCCTATTAAGTAGGTAAAACGATATTTAATGTATATTAAAGATTCTCTCAAACAAGTCTAAGTGTCATTCTAGGAACGCAGTACTAATATTAAGTAGTTAGTGCTCAGTTAAGGTATCAGGAAGAAAAGAGGGAGAAACAAATTTTTATGCTCATTAACAGTATCTTGAACACTGTACCAGACTTCACACCAAATTGACGACCGCATTAGCAGTTACAGGCCTAAATATTGCCAAGAAAATGGGCCAGTGAAAGGTCTGAAATGCCTATCATGGAAGTACTTACTGCCCAATAGAGGGTAAACAGTAGCAATCATGATACTCTTAGTGTCATTATTGGTCAAAATTTAGTACTTTACAAGGAATACTCAATGTTTAACATGGACTAAAGATAAAAGAATTTTACAAGAATCATCCAGTTGTCATAGGGAAGTGACGGAGCCTAGAGAGTAAATCTTAGTTTGTATGAAATGGTATTACTTTGCTCCACAAAAGATAGCAACCACTTCTTGATAAGAAAAGATTTACCGGTGCGGAGGTAAGGACTAGCAGGAGCGAAGGCTGCACCGCAGTACAGGACGGAGAGCAACACCAGTGGGTAGTCTATATGATTGGGGGCGAGGTAGAGGACAGCGTGATCCAGTGTGACCCCGGCGGCGTGTAGACCTGCAGACACACGTGGCACCAGACCACACAGCTCCGAGTAAGACCGCTGCTCCTGAGTCTCTGCATTTACCTAGACATATCAAATTATTGTCTTTAACGAAAACACATGGAGAAACTGAAACAGAAGAGAACTGTACATTACATTTCCACTGAGGACCCTCATCAGCAATCTAGTATTTAGACTGGTCAAGAGGGCCTCAGAAAACAGTACGAAATATAGGAAATTGTCTGGGCGAGGGGCTTGGACTTTCAGCAAGCATGTGTGAGCGTATTAGATAGAAGTGAATGGAGACGAATGGTTTTTGGGACCTGATGAGCTGATGGAGAGTGAGGAGGGTAATATTTTGTAAAGGGATTCAGGAAAACCGGTTAGCCGGACTTGAGTCCTGGAGATGGGAAGTATAATGCCTGCACTCATCGTCTCCTCTGTTCTTTCAATGTTTACCTGGAGTTTACCTGGAGAGAATTCCGGGGGGGTCAACGCCCCCGCGGCCCGGTCTGTGACTAGGCCTCCTGGTGGATCAGAGTCTGATCAACCAGGCTGTTACTGCTGGCTGCACGCAATTCAACGTACAGGCCACACCCCGGCTGGTCAGGTACCGATTTTAGGTGCTTGTCCAGTGCCAGGTTGAAGACTGTCAGGGGTCTATTGGTAATCCCCCTTATGAATGCTGGGAGGCAGTTGAAAAGTCTCGGGCCCCTGACATTTATTATATTGTCTCTTAACGTGCTAGTGACACCCCTGCTTTTCATTGGGGGGATGTTGCATCGTCTGCCAAGTCTTTTGCTTTCGTTGTGAGCGATTTTCGTGTGCAAGTTCGGTACTAGTTCCTCTAGGATTTTCCAGGTGTATATAATCATGTATTTCTCCCTCCTGCGTTCCAGGGAATACAGGTTCAGGAACTTCAAGCGCTCCCAGTAATTGAGGTGTTTTATCTCCGTTATGCGCGCCGTGAAAGTTCTCTGTACATTTTCTAGGTCAGCAATTTCACCTGCCTTGAAAGGCGCTGTTAGTGTGCAGCAATATTCCAACCTAGATAGAACAAGCGACCTGAAGAGTGTCATCATGGGCTTGGCATCCCTAGTTTTGAAGGTTCTCATTATCCATCCTGTCATTTTTCTAGCAGCTGCGATTGATACAGTGTTATGGTCCTTGAAGGTGAGATCCTCGGACATGATCACTCCCAGGTCTTTGTTGGTTTTTCGCTCTGTTTTGTGGCCGGAATTTGTTTTGTACTCTGATGAAGATTTAATTTCCTCGTGTTTACCATATCGGAATAATTGAAATTTCTCATTGTTGAACTTCATACTGTTTTCTGCAGCCCATTGAAAGGTTTGGTTGATGTCCGCCTGGAGCCTTGCAGTGTCTGCAATGGAAGACACTGTCATGCAGATTCGGGTGTCATCTGCAAAGGAAGACACGGTGTTGTGGCTGACATCCATGTCTATGTCAGATATGAGGATGAGAAACAAGATGGGAGCGAGTACTGTGCCTTGTGAAACAGAGCTTTTCACCGTAGCCGCCTCGGACATTACTCTGTTGACTACTACTCTTTGTGTTCTGTTTGTGAGGAAATTATAGATCCATCTACCAACTTTTCCTGTTATTCCTTTAGCACGCATTTTGTGCGCTATTACACCATGGTCACACTTGTCGAAGGCTTTTGCAAAGTCTGTATATATTACATCTGCATTCTTTTTGTCTTCTAGTGCATCTAGGACCTTGTCGTAGTGATCCAATAGTTGAGACAGACAGGAGCGACCTGGTCTAAACCCATGTTGCCCTGGGTTGTGTAATTGATGGGTTTCTAGATGGGTGGCGATCTTGCTTCTTAGGACCCTTTCAAAGAATTTTATGATATGGGATGTTAGTGCTATCAGTCTGTAGTTCTTTGCTATTGCTTTACTGCCCCCTTTGTGGAGTGGGGCTATGTCTGTTGTTTTTAGTAACTGTGGGACGACCCCCGTGTCCATGCCCCCTCTCCATAGGATGGTAAAAGCTCGTGATAGGGGCTTCTTGCAGTTCTTGATGAACACAGAGTTCCATGAGTTTGGCCCTGGGTCAGAGTGCATGGGCATGTCATTTATCGCCTGTTCGAAGTCATTTGGTGTCAGGATAACATCAGATAGGCTTGTGTTAACCAAATTCTGTGGCTCTCTCGTAAAAAAATCATTTTGATCTTCTACTCTCAGTCTGGTTAGCGGCTTGCTAAAAACTGAGTCATATTGAGACTTGAGTAGCTCACTCATTTCCTTGCTGTCATCTGTGTAGGACCCATCTTGTTTAAGTAGGGGCCCAATACTGGACTTTGTTCTCGACTTTGATTTGGCATAGGAAAAGAAATACTTTGGGTTTCTTTCGATTTCACTTATGGGTTTTAGTTCTTCCCGCGATTCTTGACTCCTATAAGATTCCTTTAGCTTAAGTTCGATGTTTGCTATTTCTCTGGCCAGTGACTCCCTAAGCATTTCAGATATATTGGCCTCTTTTAGCCGCTCTGTTATTCTTTTTCGTCGCCTGCAAAGGGAGCGCCTGTCTCTTTCTATTTTCCATCTACTCCTCCTTTTTCTTAAAGGGATAAGCCTTGAGCATACATCGAGTGCCACCGAGTTTTAATCTGTTCTAGGCATAAGTTAGGGTCTGTGTTGCTTAGTCTATCTTCCCAGCTTATATCGGTTAGGACTTGGTTTACTTGGTCCCACTTTATGTTCTTGTTATTGAAGTTGAATTTGGTGAAGGCTCCCTCGTGACTAATCTCATTACGTCGGTCTGGGGCTCCGCGCATACATGTCTGAACCTCGATTATATTGTGATCTGAGCATATTGTTTTTGATATGGTGATATTTCGTATCAGATCATCATTGTTAGTGAAGATGAGGTCTAGAGTATTTTCCAGTCTAGTAGGCTCTATTATTTGCTGGTTTAAGTTGAATTTTGTGCAGAGATTTAAAAGCTCGTGTGTATGTGAGTTTTCATCAGAGCTGCCTCCTGGTGTTACCACTGCAACAACATTGTTTGCTATATTCCTCCATTTTAGGTGTCTTAAGTTGAAATCCCCCAAAAGCAAGATGTTGGGGGCAGGAGCTGTCAGATTTTCCAGGCAGTGGTCAATTTTTAACAGCTGTTCCTGGAATTGCTGAGATGTTCCATCCGGAGGCTTGTAGATTACCACAATGACTAGGTTTTGGTTCTCGATCTTTACTGCTAAAACTTCCACTACATCATTTGAGGCATTAAGCAGTTCTGTGCAAACAAGTGACTCTGCGATGTACAGGCCAACCCCCCCTTCCTTTTGCCTGTTCACTCTGTCGCATCTGTATAGGTTGTAACCTGGGATCCATATTTCGTTGTCCAAGTGATCCTTTATGTGGGTCTCTGTGAAAGCCGCGAACATTGCATTTGCCTCTGCAAGCAGTCCACGGATGAAAGGTATTTTGTTGTTTGTTGCTGGCTTTAGACCCTGTATATTTGCAAAGAAGAATGTCATCGGACTGGTGGTATTGGTGGTACTGGGGAATGGGAATTTTTTTTCCGGCATTAGTATCTGTATCTATTGGTTTGGAGTGGAGGCCATCGACTGTGGTTCCACTCCAGGAATGACTGGATTTGGTGTACGATTTCTGCCATTTCCTGCCAGTTTTTTTTTTCCTTCCTGGCACTAAAAAACCTCTCCCTCTTGAATGGCTGTGGCTACCCAGGTTTTCCCATGGTCTGGATGTTTTGTATCTTTTTGTCCCCTTTAGATAGTGTGCCTGGCAATTTAAGTTATAGCACAGTCTTTCCTGTACTGAAGAGGGACACATTTCAGGGTGAAAAAGCTTACAGGAAGGGAGTTTGCATTTTCCTGTTGTCATATGGGCACGGCATTTTCTAGGGTGGTCAAAGTTGCACGTCCCATCTGTTTTTTTCCAGATTTCCCATGCCTACAGATACCAAGTGCATAGTATGTGCACAGGCTTGGTTTCCGTTTGTCTTGGGTTTCTGTGACTGTATTCCCTGTTGGTGCATGTTTACCTGTCTCTTTCCTATCCTCACTAGCACTAACAATGGGGCTCTCACCAGTTGTTTTTGGTAATGTATCCTCACTATTGCTAGTGGAGTCCCCTTGTTTGCTATCTCCTGTGGTATTACTAGTTTGTAATATTGGTTTTATCTTGTCCTTGACTACACTTGTTTCCCCACTACAGCTCCTGTCTCCCTCGAGGTCATTTATATGCATTCCTTCATGCGTACATTTACTGACTACCTGGACAGCGCCTCCATCCTCACTATTACTGTCTCCCAGGACAGCACCTCCAGCTTCACCATTACTGTCTACCAGGACAGCACCTCCAGCTTCACCATTACTGTCTATCAGGACAGCACCTCCAGCTTCACCATTACTGTCTATCAGGGCAGCACCTCCAGCCTTACAGTTTCTGACTACATGGCCAGCACCAAGGGCGATACCATCCAGCCCAGACTTTTTATTTTCCCATTTGTTACAGAATGCTTCCAGGTTTTCTATGAAGGCTGCTTTGATGTTATCATATGTGCCATGGACCAGTTTTAATCGCAATTTTATGCTTGGATTTCAGTGCAAATTTAAAATTACATTAAAAAATAAATAATAGCTTCTAAGAATTTGCATATTTCGGCCTTGGTGCTGAGACGTTCTGTCATATTCCATCTGTCTGAAGAAAAGGTTTAATTTAATTTTTAGTAGTGATATTTATTTGCAATTTACCAGTGTGCCACAATGCTGCATAATCTGGATATTAATACAGTATCCTTGTAAATGATTCATCATTACCATAATCATTATGACCAGAACGTATAACACACTGACTCCTACAACCAGTCTGCTTTACGAGAAAGACTGAACTTGTGTCATTACTAGTTACTGAAACACTTTAGTATTAGAAATATTTCGGATGTAAGGCCATGAATATCAGAGAGAGAGACAGACAGACAGAAGGAGAGAGAGTATAATGAATGTTTCTCATAAATGACTCACCATTGCTATAGCGTCTCCATATTTTGCAATCATCTCCAAAAAGTGAACAGCGTAATTGGTGTCAGGTATAGGCAACAGAGGCTTGGATCCATCCCACTCGAGTATTCTGGGCTCCATTCTTGTTTCTTGAACTTTACCTGCTTCTGGATTTTCGGATTCCTGTCAAAAGAATGGGAAATTTTTAAAGTATATTTTTGCTTTTTTTGATGTGTATTTGGTTGAAACAGTTTTGGTCTTGGGGAGGGAGAGAGGATTTATTTTTTACCAATAGCTTCATCACTATTAAAAGAGTGAATATCAAAATGGTATACAATACCGATAGGTTGGTGAGTAAGACACATAGGCAACAGTTAGACATCTTTATTTCGAAACGTTTCGCCTACACAGTAGGCTTCTTCAGTCGACTACAGAAAGTAGGCAGGAGCAGTAGAGATGTGAAGACGACTTTACATCTCTACTGTTCCTGCCTACTTTCTGTACTCAACTGAAAGATACCTAACTGTTGCCTATGTGTCTTACCAACTATTAAAACAGTTTGCATAATGTCAGAAATTATTGCAAATTTACTTATTTTCTTCCCATAAAGACTTTCTGGCAAACGTCTCTTATATTTTTAATGTTATGAATCTAGACTGTAGAGCATGTTTCATGTACCATCGAAGGTTAATCTTTTCCTTTGCCTATTTTCCCACTGTTGTAAGTATTCTGCACAGGTTTTTGCAAACGATATGGGGAGCCCAAGATTTAACTTGTTCTCTAAGTGAAACTCCAAAATAAGCAACATAAGCTTATTTTACAAAATCTGCGATTTTTTCTTTGTTTTTGCAAAGAATACTCGCCACAAATGTAGCAAACTGAACTGGGGTTGTTTAAGGAGGCTCTTCGTGAACAACTTATGGTTATCTGGAAAAAGTAACAAAAGTAAAGTTGATATATTATTCACATGTGAAAGTCTTGGGTATCTTTATTGAGGAAACGTTTCGCCACACAGTGGCTTCATCAGTCCATACAAAGGATAAACTTGAAGAACAGGAGGAGAATGAGGTAATCAGTCCCTCAACCTTGAGTCGATGTGGTCAGTCCATCAATCTTGAATAGAATACGGCAGATGAGCGGAGAAGCAGCTTATAAATCGTATGGCAGGAGAGGTGCAGAAGTCGTAGGTGGTGTCACATTTGTCCAATGTGGAAGTAGGTCGTGCCCAAGGGTTAGGCAAGCGAAGAATTCGCTTGCCTAACCCTTGGGAATTCTTCGCTTGCCTAACCCTTGGGCACGACCTACTTCCACATTAGACAAATGTGACACCACCTACGACTGCTGCACCTCTCCTGCCATACGGTTTATAAGCTGCTTCTCCGCTCATATGCCGTATTCTATTCAAGATTGATGGACTGACCACATCGACTCAAGGTTGAGGGACTGATTACCTCATTCTCCTTCTGTTCTTCAAGTTTATCCTTTGTATGGACTGATAAAGCCACTGTGTGGCGAAACGTTTCCTCAATAAAGATACCCAAGAGTTGTACATGTGTCTAATTTAACAACGTGTCGGTTCTTCGAACCATTCATCTACAAAAGTAAAGTTACATTATTATTAAGTGGTTGTTGTTGATACAACTCCTTTCGTTAAATATTAAATCATTTAAAAATAACATTCTAATCTTTATTAATTGTATCTGTATATACAGATTACAACTACATATACATGCGTTATGATTAAGTTCCCTGTTAAATGAGGAAAAGTTAGCAATATCTCACAAACTAGAGCCAAACTGGAAAACCTACTGATGTTTTCAAATTCAGCAACCCCAAAATACCCTAAAATACTTTCAAATATTTTTAGCAACGAACTTTTTTTTTCCAAGAAAACCCTCTGTTGTCCTCTATACTATTTAGTACCCTCTTAAGTACTTTTCTAAAGTACTTTTCTAAATCTAGTTCCATATCGTTATTGCAGATCCAGAAGTACATCTTTAAATAAGTGTCATTGATGTAAGCATTGTTTACTCTTGCACATGAGACAGTGTTTAAAAAAAAAAAAAAAATACATTGGTTACATGTAATCTTTATCTCCCCCCCCCCCCCACATGTTCCACAAGTATTCCTGCATGTCATCTTGTCCGTATACTATCAACAATCTGGGTAGCCCTGGAAACCTGGTTACCACTTAGGTGTGTCTAACATTTGACAACTCTCTCATCCTAGGCACATGTGAACGTATTTTCCCCAATATTCCACGAGATGAAAGGAAGACGGCAGAGGGAGGTGATGGGACGATATGGTTGGTGGTGGTGGAGGAGTGATCATTGGTGGAAGGGCACTGGAGGGGTAGTTTGTGAAATACTGTGACTTATCCTACTCCCAATACATTTCTTATAGTGTATAACAGCCCCACCCTTCTGCCCATTTCGGGTACTTATCCCGATCCTCACATGATGTACAAATGAAGTTCATGGTTTATTAGTATTATCTATTAATTATATTTAGAAATCCCCAAATAAATACCTTTAACTGGTTGAGTTTCCTTCCTTCCTTCAAAGTATCGTTTTTAACTTGAGAAAGCCTCATCGATTAGCTACAAATATTAAACTATGGTTTACTGTAACTAAGCAATGGTTCATGCAACTATTACCATATGCAGGTACTCTTTGGCCAGCTAATGTATAATATTCCAGGTTTTTTTTATGTGAAAGTTAAGACACATTTGCAACATCCAATGGCTTTATCAATACAGATTCTAGAATCTGTATTGATAAAGCCACTGGATGGCGAAACGTCTACAATAAATATATCCAGATGTTGCACATATGTCTTAACTTTCATATTGTCGGTATTTTATACCTTTCTTGCACAATTTGTTTTATGTGTTGTAATGGGGGAATCTTTTTCTGATCGGTTTCATCTTTTCAACTTATAAGAATTTTTTGATTATTAGTGGAACGGGTAAGTGTCAATTTGTCAGTTTAATTATAAAATAGTGGGGTATTCTTTCCTGAAGATAATAACTCTAATATCCCTCTTTTGAACGTCTTACATCATTAAGGCTGAGGCATCTTATGCCAAGTTTGATAATAAGTTTACGTGGTGTAAATGTAAATTTACCACTGTAACAGCATTGTTTAAAAAAAATTGGAATAATTTTGGTTTAGGTTGTGAAGGTTCGAATTCACCAGTTTACTAACGTAGTTAATGAACCTGGAATCGTAGGATTCTGTATGATTTACTCGAGAATGCATCCTCTGGTCAGCCTCGAACTATGATGCTAATGTATTTTCTTTAAAGAATTCATCACCTTGATTTTGAGTTGAGTAAATTTCATTTTGCCAATTTTATTGAGAAATTTGGTTTCAGTGCAATAACTAGAGAATGAGTTTTCTGATAGACTTTGAAAAGTTTCTACTAATTTTGGATGCAGGTGCCAAATTGACATTTTTTTTTTATTGACGAAATTTGGTAAATCAAAATACTAACGTTTATTCTCTAATTTGTGAATGTCTCATCGCTGCCCTCTACCCTCTCTATTGACCAGTTTCATTACATTTATTAGTAACCTAATGATGAACATTGCCATTTGAACATATCCTTGAGACATCCTGGCAATCTTTTTCATTTTTCATTATTTGTGTTGTAACCTATTTCTTTCCCACACACACTCATACCTCTATTTTCTATCAGTTTAAAGTCCTAGACAACTCAATATTAGCCAACTCTTGAAAGAGCTGGCAAACACTATCACTCCTGCCCAAGAGAGATGTGCCCCATGATCGCAAAGTCTTTGCAATACCTGTCTAGCCAGCAATTTGCACCAATTGACTTAGACATCCATTCAATGTCCATTCTACTTGATGGAGCTGAGAAATTTAATCCACTTTACCATGGGGATTTCATACAATCGTTAACTGAGGAATAATCAACCGTTTATTGCTCACCCATGCTAGTTCTTTATATCATGACAGAATGTTCATTACAATAGATTTAGATAGCAAAAAAACTTGTGATTTATTACCATTTGAGAAAAGTGGTATTTACATGCTATATCACTGTCATTTGGCAAAGCTGTCCTGGTTAATAGTGAGTCTTTTGTCTGAGGAAAGTACATGTGTAATGACTAAATAGTAGTGAGGTGATTCTGCATTTGCTTGTATAAAGATGAGCCGTGAGGATATAGTACTATGCTGAAAATTAATACTGGAGAATGTGCAAACTACGTCATATGTTTTGCATTAAATTAAATAAAAAAATGATCTGCGAGAAAACGTCATAAACCTGAAAATAACTGCCCCATGCAGCACGTTTCGAACGCACTGTACGGGCACACGCAGGAGACCATCAATGCACTGCATGTCTAAGAATGCCAGCCTGAGGTTTGAGGAATAGAACGTGATGTTGCAATCAAAACTTAAGTTGAAAAGTGGTGCTCCAACTCATCAATAGAGGACGAGCAAGGGTCCCCACAAAAATTGGAAAGATGAGAGTATAAGTCCCAATTCACTCGTCCAAATTGCCAACGGGGGCTACGAAGCGGTCGGGAATACATAGTAGAAGTAAGAAGAATAGAAAAGTGACCACTGTCGTGCAAATCCTGGAGAACAGACCAAGCGTAATGAAGTGCGATTGACGAGGAGCAGACAGAAAGATCAGTGCAAGAGAGAGACTGAGTGCGAGAGTCAAAATTGGTGGGGGAACCCGTATTTAAAACATAAAGAGGATGAGAAGAAGAGTCTCCAACTGATCACCACGAGAGTCACAGTGGGACCCTTCCCAGAGATGATGGTAAACGTTAAAATCACATGACAACAAGATGGGCGGCGGTAGAGAAGAGATCATGAACGCAATATCCGAGATACAGAATGCATGGGAAGGAAAGAGATGTAGATAGCAAACTGTATACCATCTGCGCAACTAAATACGGGCTGCAGTATAATGCAACAGAGAACGAACAAAGACCTATTGATACGGTATACCAACGTACACAAGAAGCGCACTCTCATTAAACAATTCATCAGGAAAGGGATCAGAAGAATGCAACAGCACATAGCCCGAAATGGGACGAATAACAGCTGAACGACTATTGGGCTCTTGTAACCCGACACATACTAAGGAAAACTAGGAGAGCAACACTGAAACTCTCCTCGATTACCTCTGAGGCCACGAATATT